CCTGAGCTGACTTCTCAAGGAATCTTTCCCCTCCTTTCTCTAGTACTGGTCTAAGGGGAAGACAAACATACAACCAACTGAGTCAAGTCTGCCAAAAGTCAATAATCAACTCCACAAGTTCTTCAACTCCATCAAAATGTAACCTTTTCTATTGGTCTCAGATAGCACATAGTTGAGCATTAAAATGACTAGCATACTGAAAATTATCTGGTATTAGAGTTTAGTCCAATCACTGTTTCAAAAAATTGTTTAGAGATCAAAAGGAAAACATACCTCTTCTGTTCTTTTCTTATGAGGTGTCTGTCTTTTCTTTTTTTGAAAGACCATGTTCAGATAATACCTTTTTTTTAACCCCAGCACAATCTCCTGCACCAATTTCTCCATCGTGCAGTTCTGCCTTTTCACGTGAATAGGACTTTACTGGCCAGTTGAAAATACCACCTCCTTCCGTGCCCTATGCACTCGCAGCCCCCATGTCTATCCCAGAGCAGTGACCTGGGACAGGTGGAATTATAGACACAAACAGACTTTCTATAGTCTGTTTCTCATGTTGACTCATCCATCCCACCTCTCCAAGACACCTCGTAATCAAAACCCCAGATTCACCAGGTAAAGGGCCATAGCTCAAAGCAATCTGGGCTGTGGCATCTGGTACCGAAGAATATTAGCATGGAGCTTGTATATTATCCCATTTGCTTCTCAAAATATCCTTGTGAGGCAGACGATCATCATCACCATTAACATTGTCATCTTCCCACCTTGACAATAACAGTAACCTGAAGCTCAGGGAGATAAAGGGACTTAAACCAAGGCCTACAAGCTAATGAGCGGCAGAATTTGGACACAGTCTTTTCACTACTTTTTCTTCTCCTCTCCCTCATTTTCCTCCCTCCCCCTTCCTCCTCCTCCTTCTCCCTCACCAAATCTCTACTGAGCATCTATTCAAGTAGGATTCTGTGCTGGGTACGCTATGCCTACAGGCTCCATTCATTCCTTCATTTAAATATTCATTTTTGCAACCACATAATCAGAGGAGACAAAAATATGCACAGAAAAAGAGGAACATAACAAAGTCTAAACACAAAGTGGCAGGAATCAGAGAAGGCATCTCATGCAATCAAGGGGGACTTCCCAGAGGAGGCAGGGCTTGAGGTGGACCTTGAGAGACAGCTGGTCCCTGACCAGCGGGCCAGAAAGCAGGAGTCTTCCCAGGACGGAGAAGTGAGCCAGGCAGAGGCAATGAATGGGCCAGCCTGATACAGAGGGCTCGAGTGAGGAAAGAGGGGAGACCAGGTGAAAAGGGTGAAGGAGCCAGGCTGGGCCAGCATCCGCAGAGAGGAAGACTGAGCCAGCGTGCACGGGCTCGCACAGCCCTCCTCTCCCGCGGAAGGACCCTTTGCAAGCTTCCAGAGCTTGTCCCATTGCCGTGTCTGACGCTGGCAGAACGTCTGCAAATAGGCCAGCATCCTTTTCACAGAGTCCAGTATCACTTACACAGATGGCCTCATCTTGAACACTTGGCCAAAATAAGCCAGTGAAATGTTTCCTTCACAGACTCCTTTAAACCCATTTGCGGGAGGTGGTGTAGGCAAGGGCAGGGGCATAAATCAAACCGGTTTCATTCATCTAAAGGCACAGAAAGAAGTCAAGTCAGGCAGTTCACACGGCGGAGAGATGGGCAGCATTCGGCAGCAGAGGGGCAAGCTGCCAGCCCTCAGGGGAGCCTCAGCAGGGGCCAGGGCTGAAGGCAGTGCTTGAGTGTGCAGATCACAGCCGACCTCTTGGAAATACAACCCTCTCTCCCCAGGCTGGGTCTTACGCACATTAGCCTCCACATAGCTTGGCTGAGAAGGAGCAGGGGCCATCTCACCCGGTACAGGTGCTCCTCCTCAACCTCAGAGTGATCCAGCATACACAACAGAAACCCAATTGTTAAAGCCAAAAACCACACGCACTCAAGTCGGAGGTTTCACTTAACTTAAAATAGTGCATGGTATGTAACAGAAACTTAGTAAACGTTTAAGTAAATGAATAAATCAGTTAATTCTATAAGATGAAATTTTTATTCTACTGGAGTGCAGAACTTCCCTGGAAATAAACCTATACTCACAAAACTCACACAGAGGTGGGGCCTTTATATTGTTTCCTTTCTTATAGCACTTTGTATTAAATCAAATTAAGAACTCTGAGCCGTTTCACATCTTCCACGGAAGAGAAGAATAAAAACTCACCGAGAAGTGGCTGGGAGAGGTCACCCAACCTTTTAGTCTCAGACTTAGGGCTGCAGGATAAAATACAGGATGCCCAGTTACGTATGTCCCAAACATTGCATGGGACACACTTACAATAAAAAAGTGTTTGTTGTTTATCTGAAATTCACATTTAACTGGGGATCCTGTATTTCTGTTTGCTAAATCTGGCAACCTTACTCAGACTCTTTATTTATAAAATGGGAATAGTGACGACAATTGCACTACCGGCCTTAAGGGGCTTGCTGGGCAGCTGGAATAAAATCCTGTGCCTGGAACTGTGATGACAGAAAGCAGATCTTGGTTTCTGGGGCCAGAGGTGGAGGGAGGGGATCAAGGGCAGGGACAAGAGAACTGTTCTTTATCTTGATTATGGCAGTGGTAATTGTATACATTTACTAAAATTCATCACTCTGAACACCCAAAATTGGAAAATTTTATTATGTTATGCCAAAATAGAGTATAAATGTGTTACCTTAAGACTCAATTAACTGTATTTACTGATACAATTATTTTGTCAACTATAGTAAGAAACCACAAAATGTAATGTGTCCAAGCAGGTTCTGGAGATGGAATCCTGGCTCCCACACTTACTAGCAGCATGACTTTGGGCAAGACGCGCCTCAGTTTTCTCATCTGTTAAATGGGGCTAATTATAATCCTAGCTCATAGGACTGTTGTAAAAATTAAACATGCTATCACCTGTAAAGCTCTTGGCACCAACCTTGGAACATAGTAACTGCTTAATTGTTTTAAATTAATAATAAATACCAATAGCCATCTAAGATCTAAATAGTTTCTTTAAAATGAAGTTGTTCCTACAGAAAGGGGAAAAAAATGATAAGCGCAAGGTATAAGGTAGCTGGAAACTTGATAAAGAAATCTCCACTTTAGAATTTTGAAAAATTTGGGACAAATATGAAGTATTCATTAATATATACTGTATGCCCCACAGAGGGCACTGGGCTTGGCAATTCAATATTTCAGAGTCCACTGCAGGGAATAACAAACGGTTTCTTGTTTATGGCTTCTAACATAGAAGATCAAAAACAAAAGTTTACTCACTTTATGTCTTTGCTTCTGGACCTGCTAGGATTTGACAGGTCTGGGTTTTTCTCAGAAAAAGCATTTTCCTAAGTCTGTTGGTTAAGGAGGGCCAGACTCAGGAATTCTTCAAACCTCTGAGGTTTTTACTAAGCATGTACTAAGTGCCAGGCTCTGTGAGAAACTGGTCCCAGTCTTCACAAGTGCCCTGCGGAGCTGACATCCATAACCACCTACTGGCTCATGATTTCTGATGAGAAAATTGAAGGTCAGAGAAGAGGTGAGGTGACCAGCTAGGAACTGGTCGGTCAATTACACTGATCTCCCTGCTCCCTCCTGCTTTCCACCTTCTGATGGCTACCTCCCCAGTCCCCCCTCACAGTACAGGAAGACAGATGAGAGTGAGAGAGAGAACTCAACTTCCTTCTTCAAATGCCTAAAGCACCCAGACTTTCTCTTCCTTCGAGATCCCCACCTGTCTGCCTCTGCAGTCCTCCTCACTCCCCAAACATGTTTTGGCCACAAGTAGCTTCTCATCTTTCAGAAGTCTGAAGCCATGCCCTTCCTCATTCAGTCATCTGACAATCATTCCTGAGGACCTACTGGGCACAGGCACTGTCCAAGTGCTAGCAACTCAAAGACCACTACATAAATTAACAACCACTTTACAGCTGTTTTTTGTTGACTCCAAAAATACTTAATCATATCTTGAAAATGGACTTTTCCAATGCACTATGATGTATGAGCAAGAAGGCCTGCTGCAGTGATGTTTTCAGTTGCAGAAAAATGGAACTGAGCTGTCCATCAACAGAAGACGGTTAAGGAAATGTGGTGCATCTACTCACTAGAAACCAGAGATTGTCAGAAAAGATTGTCCCAGAATTGTTAACAGCTGTTGCCTGGGCAAGTTAGTTTCTTTCTTTTCTTTCTTACTTTAGGTATGTGCTCTTTATAATAGCATACAAAATCTAAAAAACATTTAAAAGAAAAAACTGTGCATGGAGGTGGGGGTGGATGAAGTTCATTTCCAAACTTCCATTTACTCCTCTAACCCATTTTGAAGACTTGCAACCTCTCCTCATTAGAACAATAAAACCGTTAGAGCAGGCTAGTAAATCAGTTCACCTCGCAGAGAAAATGCCATTAGGACCTCAGAGTGAGAAACCATAGTGGGAAATGGCCCCCTGTCTTGATAAGTCATCTGTTTCCTGGGTTCCCAGCTTGCCAGTACTTGAAGCCCATGAATATGGTCGTTTGAAAACAAAAATAGAGACACCCTTTTAAAGGGGCTAAGCTTAAACTTTGGGGGAAAGGAGATTAAATACGCATGTACAAGAGTCCTAAGACTATACCTTGCTCTAGACTTGGTTTGCTCATTTTGAATGGAGACATTGTCCTGGGGAACAGCCGGCACGGAAACGGGAGGCCACCATTGTCCAGCACCCTGCCAGGTGGGGCTGGTGGGATCATTGCGCTGGAAGGGGGTTGGGAGAATCACCTGCGCCCTGTTACCTCCTCTCCCAGCTGTAGACGATTAGGAACAGCACCATGCACTCCTTGAGCTCTATGGCAAGCAATTCACAATCCTTATCACGACTCCGTTTCACAGATTAGGAGCCTGAAGCCCTCAAAAGGCCCAGTGTCTTGTCAGAGTCAAGACAGAGCCCACTGGGCGCACTTTTCCTCACCCGCCTCGGAACCCCTCACCTGTTCGTTCCAACGATGCAGCTGGCTGTAGCGCACCCTGCAGAAGAGGAAGCCGTCCAGGTACACGGAGTACAGCTGCAAACACAGAGACATCCCGTCCCGGATTAGCCGAGCGAGGTGAGCCCCCGCCATGTCACCGGCCTCCTCCCTGCCCGGGCGCACCCCGGCCCCCGGCGCACCCCGGCCCCCGGCGCACCACGTAGCGGCCCCCCAGCGCGTCAAGCCGCTGCTGGGACACCGGGATACAGAAGTGCATCTTCATGGCTCGGGCGGCGGCTCCAGAACAGCGCTGGGAACCTGACCTATGGCAGCGGGGGCGCGGTCTGCGAGTTCAGGCTCGGGCTGCAGTCGGGGAGCCCGACCTGCGGCGGCGCGGTCCTAGGCTCTGAGCCCGGGGGCTGTGGGCACAGCGGGGCTGGCTACGGCGTCCGGGGCGGGGCCCTGCTCCCGCTCCCCGCTCGCCCCGGGCGTCCGCAGGTGGGGCAGGGACCCGGCTGCGCCGCCTGCTGGTCCCCGCCCCGCTCCGGCAGCGCGACTCGGCTCCCAGGACCGGTGGGAGGCGGAGCGCGCCTACGGCCCAGGGCCCGGGCACCGGCCCCCGCCTGCAGCCAGCCTGGGCCCGAGGCAGGGCTCCTGGTGCCCGGTGGGGCCTGGACGGAATTCAGAGAGCCCTAGAGAGCGCCAGAGCCTTCCTCGGGCCAGGGCTTTCACCCTGGAGCCTGGACTCCTGGGGGGTGCTTGGGGGGGGGGGGAACTGTGCGTGGATGGGGGGGGTGATGGAATTCTTCTGGGGAGGAGGTCCAGGGTTTTCGTCAGATTTTCCAGAGGGTTCCTTGAATCCACAAAAGTTAAAAATCGTTGCTCCAGCCGCGATGTCCTGTACACGTGCCAATCGAGTAATTCACTAACTACTCCTCACCTCACCCAACATCTCAGGGTTGGGCTACTTGCTGGGCGGGTAGGGAGTGGGGGTGCACAGCCTAGGAGAAGCCGGCCTTCTCCAGGTGTCCAGGTCCTGATCTGTGGCTTGCAGCGTGTCCAGGCCCCCTTCCAATGAGTATCATGAGAGACAGATCACGTTCAGACCCACCCTCAAACACAAAATGCTGACATTTCCTCCAAGTAGGTGCCCTGACAGGGTTGAAAAAAGTCTGTGTCCCATGACCTGCCAACACTGCCTGCGGTGTGCAAGAATTAAGATTAAAAAACAAAAGAAAACAAAACATAAATCTAGTAACTACCCTATAACTAGCACAATTGGGTTCAATTTTTTGTGTTAACATTGGTTAAATGTAACACTGAAGGTATGCCACGATATTTGTAACCTTGCCTTAGTATTTTTTAAATACCAAATATTTTTCCTTTTTAAAAAAATACCTTTTTTCCCCTTAGTATACCAGAAGCCTCAACAATTTTTTTTTTCTTAATATACCAGAAACCTCAAATGGAAGTGGCTTTGGGCCTCTCTTGATTCCCAAGAAGCCCTGGTTTCAACTAGGTGCCAGCATCCAGTTAGCTGGGTTCATATAAACCGTTTGTTCTCTGGACTAACCATCTCGAGTTCTTTCAACAGTCTCTCATTTTTAATTGCCATGGAAAGTAATTCTCTAATTCTCTTCTTTTAGTTAAATCATGATAGAGTTCCTCTCACCTTGCCATGGTCACTGGGGCGGAGGAAAGCAGCAGTGACATGTGTGCCTGTCACAAGGCAGGCACTGGGCTGTCTCCATGCTTCCTCCCGTCCTTGTATCTTCCCATAACTCTTCCAGGTAAACATTTAGAGCAACATCCTACCACTGACAGAACAGGCGCAGAGAGTAGAGTAACTTTTCTAAGGTCACAGATCACTTTTTCATAGTTCTGAGTAGTTTATTCCAATCGGAATCATTGCAAGTCCTTTAAAATGCAAGTCTTCACCGAGTGAAAGCTGAGTGCCTGAAATGGGAATCAGAGACTAGGCAAGGAGAACCAACACATGCTGAACACCCATTACTTCCTGCATGTTTACTGTGTACCCGGCTCTGATGTACACCATGCCGTTTAATTTCCCCAGTAACTGTGAGCTGGGAACCATTGATGGTTCTGGCTTTAGAGAAAAGGGAATTGACACTTAGGGAGGTGATATAACATAGCGGCTAAGAGAGTGGAAACCAGAATTCATATCCCAGCTCAGTGGCATCTAGTTGAGGGGCCTTGGGCAAGTTAGTGGACTCTTAAACTGTGGTTTCCTCCTCTATGAAGTTATGTTAATAACTGTACTCATTTCAAGAGGATTTTCAGTCCAGGGTAGATGGGTTTTAGGGTTTTTCCCCTGCCTGTGGGCCATCTGTCACCTGGAGGGCCACCTTACACCACGACCAGGGGTGTCCCTGAGTGTCCCCTGGGGCAGAGACTGATCAGGTAGGCTCTGGGATCTGGCGCAGTCTTCAGGGCAGCAAAGCAGAGCATCTGGTCAGGCCCATCCTCCTGAGAACTTTCTTCTACCTATTTGAGCCCTGGCTCAGCCTCATAACATTGTTCAAACAGAGCCATTTCCTTCTTTTCACTCATGCCACCCCTGAAGCTGAACTGGAACAGGACCAGCTTCTGTGCAAGTCCCTGTCCTCCTCCACCTCTCATGTCTGCTCCCGTCAGTCAGCTCTTATTCATTCAGTCAATGACCATTATTTTTTTGTCAGAGTATTTTGTATTTTTTTCCAACTTTATTGGGATATAATTGATGTATAACATTGTGTAAGTTTAAGGTTTACAATGTGATGATTTGACAATGTATATATTGTGAAATGATTACCATAAAAAGGTTAGTTAACACATCTATCACCTCATATAGTTACCATTTTTTTTGTGAGAACATTTAAGATCTACTCTCTTTGCACTTTCAAGTATACAACATAGTCTTGTTAACTGTAACCACCATGCTTTACCCTAGACCGCCAGAACTTATTCATCTCATAATGGAAGTTTGTACTCTTTGACCACCATCACCCGTTTCTCCACCCCCAGCCCCTGGCAACCACCAATCTACTCTGCTTCTATGAGTTTGTTTTTTTTAATTCCACATATAAGTGAGATCATATAGTATTTTTCTTTCTCTGACATTTCTCTTAGCATAATGCCCTCAGGTTTCATCCATGTTGTTAAAAAAGAAATGATTTCCTTCTTTTTTATGGGTGAATAATATTCCATTGTACATATATATATAACACATTTTCTTCATCTGTTCACGGACATTTACTTATTTCCATGTCTTGACTATTGTAAATAATGCTGCAATGAACATAGGGGTGCAAATATATTTTTGAGATATGATTTCATTTCCTTTGGATATATACCCAGAAGTGAGATTGCTGGATCATATGGTAATTCTATTTTTAGTTTCTTAGGAATCTCCATACTGTTTTCCATAGTGGCTGTGCCAATTTACATTTGGGCAAACAGTGACCAAGAGTTCCTTTTTCTCCACATCTTCGGCAGCACTTACCTCTTTTGTTTTTGGTAATGTCATTCTAACAGGTGTGAGGTGATAGATAACTAATTGTGGTTTAGATTTGCATTTCCCTCATGATTAGTGATGTTGGCCATTTGTATATCTTTTTTGGAAAAATATCTATTTAGGTTCTTTGCCCATTTTCAAAAATTGAGATATAATTGACATATTAGTTTCAGGTATAAAACATAATGATTTGATATTTGTATATATTGCAAAATGATCACCAAATAAGTCTCGTTAACATCCATTACCATACATAGTTACAAAATTTTTTTCTTGTGACAAGAACTCTTAAAATTTACTCTTAGAAACTTTCAAACATGCAATACAGTGTTATTAGCTATAGTCACCATGCTGTACGTTACATCTGCAAGACATTTATGTTATGACTGTAAGTTTGTACCTGTTGGCCAGCTTTACCCATTTTGCTCACCCACTCTCCACCCCCTAGACTCTGGGGACAACAATCTGTTTTGTTTTTTTAGATTCCACTATACATGAGATCATATGGTATTTTATTTTATTTTACTTAGCATAATGCCCTCAAGGTCCATCCATGTTGTCACAAATGGCAACATTTCCTTCTTTTTTATGGTTGAATACTATTCTGTTGTGTGTGTGTGTGTGCGTGTGTATATATATGTATCACATTTGCTTTATCCATTCATCCATCGCTGGGCACTTAGGTTGCTTCCATGTCTTGGCTACTGTAAATAATGCTGCAATGAACATATGGGTGCAAATATCTCTTTGAGATATGATTTCATTTCCTCTGGATATATTCCCAGAAGTTGAATTTCTGAATCATATGGTAGTTCTATTTTTAATTTTTTGAGGAACCTCCATTTTCCTTAGTGGTTATACCAGTTTACAATCCCACCAACAGTGCACAAGTGTTCTTTTTCTCCACATTCTTGCCAACACTTGGTATTTCTTATCTTTTTTGATAATAGCCATTCTAATAGGTGTGAGGTGATAACTCATTGTGGTTTTATGTCTGCTTTGGAAAAAAGTCTATTCAGATTCTCTGCCCATTTTTTAATTTGATCATTTAGGTTTTTTTGCTGTTGAGTTGTATAAAACAGAGATAGAGCAGCCAACAGGAAGGGAGACCTGTGATCCGAGGGACAATGTCCTGAAGATAGTAAGACTGACTAACCCTTGTGTAGCACTCACTGTGGGCACTCTGGGTGTTTACATCAACAAACTCACAACAACCGTATGAGCTCAGTGCAGTTGTCATCCTTGTTTACATGAGACACAACTGAGGTAGAGGGAGCTTAATACTTGTGCAAAGTCACACAGCTTGTAAGAGGGAAGTAGGGATTCAAACCCAGGGAGTCTGGCTCCAGAGCCCTTGCTCCTAAGCACTTCTCCAAACAAAAATAACTTTTCAGTTCATACTGCTAATAGGAAGAACTCTAGAAAATCAAGGGCCCCCAGGTTTGGGCACTGACGTCAGGAGGAGGTTACCCTACGAAGTGAGACTGCTGCATTGCAGAAGTGACCCCTCACAGGGGACCTGGCAGTGTGCTGCTGAGAAGCTCAGTTCTGGTCATGCACCTCCGTGCAGGTGCTGCTCTAGAGGTGGGAACTGGCAGGTGGACGGGACTAACTGCAAGGCCTCGCTGCCTAGTAGGGGGAGGCAGACGGAGAAATAGCTGAATACCGCCATCGTGGTGAGTTCAAGGACAGAGTGACGTCCAATGTGCAACAATAGCGTGATGGAGGGATGTGAGCCCAGCCAGCCTGGAGCGAGGTGGGAGGCAGAGAAGGCTTTCTGGAGAAGGTGAGGTTTGACAGGGTTCTTTCAGGATGAGTAGAAGTTCACTGGAAAGAGCATTCCAGGAAGGCAGAACAGCAAAGGTCTAGGA